AGGAAAAGAAAGAACAAGCAAGGGAAGTGAAAGGGGAGGAAGAAGAACGGGTTTTTTTTCTCTGCCCACCTTATGTCCTGAGGTGGGGTGAACGCCCAAGGGTGGGTTCTGGGCTAAAGAGGCACCCAAGGTTAGTGACAAGTGGGCCCAAGTCGTGGTGGCCTAAGAGGTAAGGGCTGGAATAGAGGTGGAACATGAATTTGGGCAGATTTAAGGAATTTTCAGCAATTTTACACCTCTTCCACCATGACACTCAGTTAGTTCAAGAAATAATAGTGATAGAATTTTATCCTTTGGTGTGGAGATAGACCTGGATACCTAGTTTCCATTTTTAAAACTTTCACTAAAAAATTCGAAATATTTTAATTCTGGTGAAAAGATGAAATTGGTTAGGCTGAAAGTTGGTTTGAATTTTTAGAGGCCAAAACAGAGAGTAAAAATTCCACAAAATTTACATTTGTTGGTGATAAATAAACTAGTATTTGAATAAATTATTATACATGTACACTTCTGTTCAAGTTATTATTCAAATAGAAGTGGTTTCAATTTTACCGATTAGAGTTAACTTTGTCATCGCCTATGACCAAATTGCAATACAGTAAATATGAAATCTAAAGGACAACAAAAGCACTTCTAACTACCTGGTTATGAACCTAGGGCTGTTACACTAGTAGCTTTTCCTTCTTTTGCTAGACTTGTACTTTATTTAGAATATTCTTCCTTATACTACTCTGGTATTGTAGTACTTTCCGAGTATATGAATACCAGCTTTACTATATATCCGAGTTGTATTAATTATGATGCTAGCTTATCTGGGAAATGCAATGGTGTGGGTATAATGATCGTGCATACAATGACTCTATGTCATGACGATGATATTAGAGTAGTATTTGGTAATTTAAGCGTGATGTTTAGATTACTGGATATCATTATTTGGGGTTATATGCTGCGGAAGCGAGGTGGGCTGCTGATGCTGATAGCTCAGTACGGGTATTCCTCCGCGCGTATATATAGTCCTAAGTAAATTTCCTGGGGAGGGCACTCCTCCGTATTTAGCCCCGGTTGGATGGTCATGATGGGTTGTTGTAATCAGGGGTGGCTTCTCGAAGCACCAGGAGGGCATTGGAAAGAGGGTATTAATTAAGTAATCATATAACTAGGATGTATGTATAATATGTGTATCTAATATGTATGTATACTAGAAGTATAGGAATAGGTTCTTTCTACTTTCTTTCCACTTAGCTTAGATAAAAATGTATGAGAGTATTAATCCTTCTGCTTAGTGTCACTCTACCCTTTGGATTATATTAACCCCTGCCTAGACTTTGGTTATTACAACTAACATATAAATTATTAGTGTGGTTCTATCTATTATAATATTCCCACGGGATTAAATATATACGATACCCTTGGAATACTCTCGGCTGAAATGCTACAATGCTATATCTGTGCTCTTGCGGATAAACTCTGTAACCATAATATACCAGAAGAATTTATGCGCCATTGCTGGGAATTATATTTCTAGTAATGTTGTTAAGAAATACACGGGCTGGATTCGGACTGCAAGACAGTACCAACTTGTGATGACCGCCACGACTTCATATGAATTCCGTTTTGGGCAAGCAATTACTTCATGGAAAGCTTACCAAGTCTACTTTCAAATCGATCTAGCCTGATTTCCATATCTATTCTGGAGAGGCCGCAATCATTGTTTTACTATCCAAACCATTATTTGTCTACGGTGCTGTGTCACCTTATTTGGGCCCAATGGACTGTGTATCAAGTTAGGTCCATTAGGGACACGTACTAGGGTTAGAGCACGACCCCAACACCCCTGTGGTTGGTGTCCACTCCTTCTTATACCCTTAGCCGCCGCCAAGGACATTTAGGTTTTATCGTTGATTAGAGTTAGCAACTTGCTAGTTGCCTGCAACACGTGTGTTGACTAAACCGCCAGTCGGTTTCTCTTTGGAACCCCGCCATATTTTGATTTATAGAGCAAAACCTTCATATCCATCTTGCAATTCATTGCTTGTTATACTTGTTCTTGCTTGTTCTTAAATTGCTTGCAGGACGAGTGCTCTTGTTGGTTGGTTATCTCACAATGCAAAATCGCGAGGACCATTGCAGACGATGTATTGGGTGCTAAGGTGCAGCGTCCTTGGGCCGTTTTAGTCAAGTCGTGAACATTGCCTAAATCCACCGATTGAGTTATTCCCCACCTCTCATCGAAAGATCGGGAACAAACCCTCGCATGTTCAAATCATATGGGGTTACCAACTGGCATCCATTAGGTTTTTTTAGTAGTGCTAGTGTATGGTGTCGATGGGTTGTACCTGAGAATGGTATTTGTAAAGTATAGGGATCGTGTGTCCAAAGTTATACATGAGATTATGGTAAAACTGATAGGAGACAGGGATTTTTATACAAGTTCGGGCCACTTGTTTATGGATATAACCCTACTCCTATTTGCCAAAACCGGTGTTGCCATTTGTTAAATCTAAAATTTGGTAAGATTCTTCAGTCGATTCGGTTAAGGAAATTAAAGAAGTCGATCAGCCGATGGAAACTCATCTAGAAGAGACGGAGTTCAAGGAAGAATCATGAAGTCCACGGCATGATAGTTTAATTCTATCTATTAATTAGGCAAGATTTAGTAACTTTCCTTTTATCTTTTGGAAGTATTTATCTAGTGATCGATCAGGACGTGCAATTTTCCTTTTATCTTGAGGAAAGTGTGTTTAGTGTTCGATTAAGACTCTTAACAGCCTATGGGTATAAACATGTACACCCTGGATCATTTTAAACTATCTCTCAATCAATACAACTACTCTTGGCGTATCGCTACCCTCTTTTCCGAGGTTTTTAGTTATCAACCGGAAGAACTTGGACTTGACGTGGTGCTGCATCGCCTTTCGATCTCCGGTGAAGGGGTAAGTAGTATGTTCCACCGGCCCTAGCAATTGTATCAGCTATATTGGTGTTGTTCAAGGCTGCTTTGCTTCGATCTCTTGGATTACTCTGGTTCGGTTGATATATTTGCCTACCTATTTGTCATATATCTTAGTTAATCTAAGTCGATTATTGAATTTACTTAGTTAATCTAAATTGTTTTGTCGATCTAGATTAGTTAAGGTATCTACCACCCTGAAAATCAGTCAAATGCTTGATTGTCTAGATATTATGTTTCTTTTCATACTTTGCGCTACATCAGCCTTAGTCATGCTTAGAACCATAATCTTCAGCTTGCTTTTTGATTGCCAATAAGGGTTTCATTAGGGTTTCAGCCGATGAGTTATCTGGATGTTGCATCGCCTTATAAGGATTCCGTACAAGTTAGTTTTAGCCGATTGTAACAAAGGTTTCATTGATTATCTAATCGTTTGGATTTTATGACATCGGGCATCTAGCCAATATATGCTTTAACCTTCGGATTATCGTTTATTCTACCATATGATTATTAACCGATTGGTTTCTACTAGATTACATTGTTGTTTCATTACATTATCATCAACCAACTGTCTTTATATGATTATTCATTCAAGAGTCAGACTCTACATTGGACATATAGCCGATTGCCCAAAACCCGATTGTCATCGGCTGGTATCGACATCGGCTAGTATCTCTCTATCGTCTCGTCAGCCGATCGGCTCTTTGATCTGTTATTCTTGTTAGTTGCAGGATCAAGATGACTGGCACGCCCGTATCTCATCAATTTTAGGATCTGCACTGGAGCTAAGCATATCTCCCAGACCTTCGTGTGTGTGTCGACACACAGTTCGCGTCAAAGCAGATTTTTCATCAACACCATTATATATTAATATCACACGAGTATAATATTTAGGACAACCTAATCTAATCTCTGTCAGACTAGCGATTTAAAGCTCTCACATTTGGTTGACGGCTAGTAATAGTCCACTTCCTCGAATAAAAATTCGGTGATATTGAAAGGAGCACTGGGTCCCTCTTGCCAGCTTTCGTGACTTCATATTGGGCTTGTCTAGGCTTGCCTTTGCTTGTGTTGGCGTCAATTGGATTATCTCCTCTCCTCCCGAGGGGTATTGTTTTTATACCCTCGGATACCCCTTGTCCAAGTAGAACTAAGGAAGCAGTTATGGATATGATCTGAATAGATCTTGTATTGCCCAAATAGGATTCTGCTCCTCTTTTCTTATCCGGAACACCTCCAATGTTTGAGCCATGATTCTGTATAAAGACTTGGTGTATGGTGTGTGGCCCACTGTGGTAAATACATAAGTATAAGGTATCCCATATCTTGGACACCGATATATGGTATATTCAGTTTTCAACATATATATATATATATATAGTAAATTTACTATATAGGACACTCATATGGGGCACCATGGTGCCCCATATGAGTGCCCTATATATATATATATATATATATATATTTATATATATTTCATCATCAGGTACTTAGACACCCACTGCCGAAATGGACGAATTTAAGAAGTTTTGAACAAAATAGATATGTCCTCATTTCTTGTATGTCATCAAAATATTTATTAAAAAAAATTAAAACAAATCGACAAATTAGATTAGCATTAGACATATTACTCCACAAACGTACAAATCTAAAGTCAGCTTCTACAAGATGTAAAAAAGTAACAAATATAAATTTGAATTTACGTTAATTAGCTTCGGTTTAATTTATTCTTTTTGTTGCAACTTATAGAAATTGAATTTGACGTGTATGTTTGTGAAGTAATATATCTCATTAATTTATCTTATCAATTTTTTGAAAAGTTTTTAAGAGTTATTTGGATGGCACGTAAGAAAAGAGGGATGTCAGGGATGTTCCTCGAGGGACATCCCCCTCTACTTGTTACTAGTGAGCTGCGCTATATATCGAAGTACTTTCAACTCGAAAGGGGGAAATTCACTATATTTTACATGTTAATTTTGGTACATCCATTAACGAATAATTAACAAGATTTCACTCTATTTTGAAACAAAGATATCGAAGGAGGGTTTGGCTCATGCCGGCCCATGCATGACTGATAAATACACTAGCTGCTAAGCAGATGATGGGTGATGCATGAGACTGATGAACCAGGTGTTTTTCTCTGCTTCGTGGACTGCATGCTCTTGACAACCACGTCGTACGTGCAACTTGCAAGCGTGGTTTAGTAGTCTGCACACAGCACACACCCGTCAATTCACAGTAGCATGTGTCATGCATGCCCATATATGCTTGTGCCAACAGAAGAAGCTATATATAGGAGACGGTTTTCTTCTGCTTGCTTATTGATAGCAATCCGGGTCTCGTTTCAGCGAGCGTACCGACGACCGGCCCCATGTCGATCCGTCTCAGTTCATCGACGGCCGGATCAGTAGTTGTTGTTGTTGCGGTAGCTGTAGTCCTCCGCAAGGAGCTCGTCGAGCACCTTGTCGTCAAGGTACACAAGCTCCACCTTCTCCGTCGTGTCGGCGCAGTGGCGGCTCGTCGTCACCGGAGCTGGCGGCGTGGATGACGATGACGACGAAGAGCCGGTGCTGCTCGTCCTGCCTGGGAAGTTGAGCACGGCCATAGCGCCCTTCATGGCGAATGCGGCGCGGTCGTACGCTCGCGCGGCCTCCTCGGCGGTGTCGAACGTGCCAAGCCAGACGCGTGAGCCGCCGCGCTCCGGGTCGCGGATCTCCGCCGCGAATTTGCCCCACGGCCGCCTCCGTACGCCGCGGTACTTGCTCGCCGCCTCCTTCTTGTCGTCCTCCATGCTCACTACTACTTGTATATATATACTGCAGGCGCTGCAGGTCACTAATGATAGTTTCAGACGTCCTGCATGTAGCAGTTGGCATATGCAACATAAAGGCAAGCTAGCTAGCTATTTATAGCGTGGGCGACACGATGATCTTGGGTCTCCTGGCGCGAAATGATGCCCGGATCGCGGCAATTCGGCATCCATGAATGATCGATGCATGTGTGATCTTGACAGTAAAGATGAGGCAAATATATATATGTATGCGTGGACGGACGTTCTCCTGTGACGACGTAGTCCTGTAGCGACGGCGAGCGATAGATCGAGTAGCTAGCTAGTAGGTTGCAAGTCGCTGGGAAAGCGGAATCTTGGTCACGTGGGGGGCGTGACCGGCCGGCGGACTAAGGCAAGAAAGTGGCCGGAATATTCACAGGGAGATGATGCGTGTGCCGGCCGGAGCGACGCCACGGAGGTGTTTGGTGCTTTATGCCACACGCACAATTGCGATGGATGGATGGATGGATCGACCGGGCGATGTGTGCGTATGTCTATCGATCAATCGATGAATGGGTGGGTGGATGGATGGGAGCGGGCACACGCGTGTGCTGACCGCTGACCGCAACGGACGACGGTGCTCTCTCTCGCTCGCCGAACCAACTTGCACCGTCCCGGGCGCCTGCGGTCTATGTATGGGTCTTCCCGCACTGCGCTAGTTGCGCGGCCCCTCATCCGCGCGGCGCGGTCACGTAGCATGTGCGGAGAGGGGGTGGCGGGAGAGAGGGCAAGTGACGGTTTTTCTCCCAATTTTTTTTCTCTTTTCTAATATGCACGTGTACAAACTTTGCATACATATACATAAAAAATATATAGATATTAAAAATTATATATATTGTATATATACGTATAAACTTCGTATACATACAAAGTTTATACGTATGTATAAAAGTAGATACATACGCATAGAGAGGAACGAAAGAGCAGACCGGGGGGGGGGGGGGGTTGATCGCGCACCACATCAGCCATCCCCCACCGCGTGTGCCAAGCCTTGCGCCCTATAAGATAGTGCAAGTTTTGTACACCGTTATTTGCATGTGTAAATGGTTATAGAATTTTTTAAAAAAGTTAGTAATGTCAGTAGGATTGATATAGGAGAATCACCGATAGCATCTCCAAATTCTATGCCAAAATTTTGGTTATGGGAATCCTAAATTTTGGGATGAGATGTTAAGTATTGGTTCTCGTACTTGGTGGGACAGATGGTACGATATATATACCATCCTTCGTATCAGGATGAGACGTGCCCGTTTTTGTTTGGTAGTAGAAGGGATAAGGGAGGGATGGGATGAACGTCGTTTGCGGCTACTGTTAGCCCATGTCCGATCTCCGTGACATGCTTGAGCTCGATGGCAACCGGCCGGTGAGTAAACGGGGGTGCCAGCAAGTGGCGCGGCCAGCAAGTGGGCGGAAGGAGGAGTGACACACCCGGTAAGCGAGTGGGCAGAAGGAGGAACGGTTGGGTGAGCCAGTAGGCGGGTGTGGCAAGCCAGTGAGGAGCGTCGAGGGAAGTGAGCAGGTGCAGATGTCGGTGACGGCAGGCCAGCAAGCCGACGTGCGAGCGAGCAAGTGGGAGCACGCGAGAGCACCCAAGTGGGTCAAGCTCATCCGCTCATTTTTACCAGATGGGTTAAATCTAGATGTGAGAGGAATATTCCTCTAAGGGAATCAATCCATTCCACCTATCTTCAAACCTAACACCTCGAAAAATGGGTTCGACCCAACCATGCATCCAACCAAACACATGCAAAAAAATATTTCCCGCCAATGGATTGGCTAAATTTCCTTCCTAAAAACTAAAAGGTGGCCCCAGAAATGAAACTTCCAATAGGATATATTTCCGCCCCTCCCTCCCACAAGATCATGGTTATTGTTGGCAGCTGTTAAGTGTAAACTTTAACCGTCAACTCTTGCATAAAAGGATACAAAATATAATAGCAAACTTAGTTTTAGGGGTTTATTACTAACGATTTCCACTAGTGTTGGTGAATATGAGTATGTAGGTGATTTTTGAGAGAAAACACACCCATCATGCGACGGAATGCACCTCTCACCGATCATTCGCGAGTACAAAGAGTGGAGGGCCGACTTAACTATCAAAACCAACTTAAGGTGGGACCAAACCTTTCTTAACCGTCATCCTGTCATACACTGGAGAAAGGTCGGTGAGAATGGCGGTTGGCCTCCCCCATCTACTTTCACATGGCAGCTCCCGATTGGATGCTAATGGCGGTTATGGGTGCACCGACCTCCCTAACTGCCATTACAAAAGTCATTTCGTACTATAAAAGGAGGAGCTCATTCACTTGGAAAATACACAGCACAACAAAATAGAGTACAACTCAGTTTCATATTTTAGGCTTTACTTTAGTATGTTGGATTTGTAAGAGAGTGAGGAGAAGCTCCGGAATGAGTGCACCGAATTTCCGGAGGAGTGTAGGGTTTGTCAGCATTCTTCCATCGGAGTTCCGGAGAAGCGCCGCAGTTTTTATTTAATTAGTTTACTTAAGTGAGATATATCCTAAATGGTGCGGTTCATCGCTTAGTTTATAATTAAGTGCTCTAGTACTAGGACTCTACATAAAGAAGGAAGTTCGGGCATGGGGCTAGAGTAGTAATCAATAACTTAGGCGTGGTGTCTAGGTTAGCGTTTACTTTTGTTTGTTGTGTGCTGAGAAAGTAAGGTAGGTGGCAGGTGGTGGTAGTCCTATCCATCCTTTGCATCCCTCCACGTCTGAGTACATCATAGAGCTCAAGGCTGGACATGGACTCACCCTGACAGACCAAGAGAGGGACGGTGCCTGAAGCATTCGATAGAGTTTTACCTTTAATTTAAGTTATCCAGTTAAATCCATAGGAGTCTTCTCTAGCATATCCAATCATCAATTTTTGTCCTTGGATAGAATCCCGTTCTTAGATATACACACACGTTCCTTATTATTTGATACACTTGGAATACTCTGAAGTGGAGTACTACAGTGGTATCCGTGTGCTTGTGGATTTATTTGTGTGCGTAACAAAAACCAATAGTCATGTGCATGACCCTGATCACCCTCATCACTCGGCCAAGTGCGCGAGAGAGTGGCGAGCGATGCATGGGGATCGAAATCGGTTCCAATAATAGAAGTGGAGAATGAAAAATCAGCACTTAGGAACTCAATCTATTGGTAGAGCCAGTAGAAATCTATTGGAACCGATTTTTGAAAAGTAAAATAAAATTACTCGACAGGGAATGATATTGACATGTTATTGGGGATGCTCTAAGGCTATAGCAAGCATGCAAGGCTAAATTCAATTTACAATTAGAGAAAAAAATGAAAGTAGTACCTTTACAGTGGAAATAATTTTTCTTATTTATGTTTCTTTATGTGTAGATTGAATTTAGACTTACATGCATGTGTGGCGTCTTATATCATCATAATTTATCTTTTCAAATTGTATAAAATTCTTATAACTATTTAAGCCACCACATGTATATACCTAGGTGCTATGTGTTGAAAATATTTTCCGATGAGCTAGCAGTGGTAGCGCCTCTATCTGCGCTGGCTTGTGCCACCTAGGAGCTTGCATGGTAGTGCCTCGGCGTCAGTTGAGGCGGCTGGCCGCCGCACTCGAGTGATTTGGCTATTCCAATGCGAAATCACTAATAAGCAGCCGTTCGTCCCACGTGATCGTTTCTTTAACCGTTTTCCGTAGTTTTTCTTTTTAGGTAAGTTTATATAGCTAAAGTATATAAATTTAAAGTTTACGAAAAAAAAGTTTATGCACCTAAAATTAATATGTTGAAAGTTTATATACCTGATTCAAAGTCAAATTTGGATTCAAATAATTTTATGTAGAATATTATATACATAATGCATAAAGTTTATAATAGTTTATAATGTACATATTTATAGGTATAAAGTCTACACACAAGAATATACATTAGATTTTTTTTCTAGTTTCTTTCACTTTTTAGCTCATTTTTTAGTTGGTTTGAAATTTATCAAGGCGCAGTAGTAAGAGGAGCCAGAGAGAGCCGTGTGCACATAGGGGGCACACCTTATCACGCACCGCGACGACCTAGCCACTGGGTGTCCCATTTCGATATATCCTATACTGTACGTGTTCACAGGGTATTATTGGGTAAATTACAGTAGGTCAAATCAAGGACTTGTATTTGGATGAAAAAATTCGGGGTGAACGTTAGACAAATTTTGGAATTTTCATATATTTTTGCTGGATTCAGATAATTTTAATAAATTCATATAAATTCGTAACCTTTTTACGGGGGGCACTTCCTATACGACATTTCAGAAATTTCGAACTGGAAATGGAAAACCTGAACCAAACATATCAAATAATGTTGGCCTGCCAGTCTATGGAGCCGCCCTAATTGAACCTTCGGAAGAACTGTTTAAACTCTACGGACGCACCCTAATTGATGGCTGATGTGAGTGCCTCAATATTGTTTTTTGGGCCCAAAAGATCCAGTAGTTTCATGGTTTTTAAGTAGAGACTGTTGTCTTGTAACCAATGTATTAATGGTTTTAAGTAAAAAAATAGAGCATTGTATTAATGGTGGGTTGTAAGATAAGCACAGAGAATAACCTAAAAAGGAAAACAGGATTACAGAGGAAAAATGAGAAGAAGGAAAAAAAAAAGGAAAAAAAGCTGAAGAAGAAGGGAAGGGAAAGCTGAAGAACATTTTAGTATGTATGGATCGGTGATGATCCTAGATCAACTAGAAATTACAAGACAACAGCCATCCGGTGCTTATGTTATGAAGGCTCTGTTTTTCGGACTCTGTTTTATCGTTATCGAGAACACAGTACTTACATATGGTAAGCCCGAATTATTGATTACATGTGAAAATCCAATTTGCTAGCTAGCGCTTCAATATACTAATGAACAGTATTATAACACCGAAATTCGTTCCGTTTCATTATATGACAAATTCTCATTTTGCGCAAATCCTATTATAAAAAATCTGCATTAATGTTAAGTTCATGTCAAGGGCAGACTTAACATGATAGATAGGTCGATCGGCCCACACTCTCTCCTGTATTGAGCCACTCACACTAGTCATCACCCATCAGATAAGAGGACTATCAATGATGATGTATTCAAAGGCAGATATAAGAAAACCAATCATTGTTTCATTTCTAATTTCGTGGTTCTGCGTCC